GGGAGCTGGGAATTTTTTTGCCACGTTACTGGACGCTCATGCGCAATGCCTGTAGGCTCATGCGTCCTTTTGAGGAGGTGACAAATTTAGTCAGTCGCACCGAAGGCACCATCAGCGACATCATACCATTTGTTTCTTCCTGGAGCGTGCCCTGCGAAGAGTGCTGGATCAGGCCGTAGATGAGCGTGAAGAGGAAGAGGAAGAGTTGTGGTCACCATCACCTCCAGAAACAGCCTTATCAGCATCGCTTGCTGGACCTGCGGCAACGCTGGAAGAGGATTGTCAGGAAGAGGAGTCAGAGGAGGAATGTGGCTTTGAGGAGGAGGAAGAGGAGGAGCAAGACCAACCACAACAGGTATCCCAGGGTGCTCGTTGTCACCTATCTGGTACCTGTGGTGTTGTATGTGGCTGGGGGGAAGAAAATACCTTCATTGACATCAGTGAGGAGGAGGAACGGGAAATGAGTAGCTCGGCATCCAACCTTGTGCAAATGGGGTCTTCATGCTGTCGTGCCTGTTGAGGGACCCTCGTATAAAAAGGCTGAAGGAGAACGACCTGTACTGGGTGTCCACGCTACTAGACCCCCGGTATAAGCAGAAAGTGGCGGAAATGTTACCAAATTACAACAAGTATGAAAGGATGCAGTATTTGCAAAATAAATTGAAAAGTATGCTTTACACAGCGTATAAGGGTGATGTCACAGCACAACGGGAATCTAACAGGGGAGAGGTGGAAGTCATCCTCCTCCTCCCATGACCACGCCGGCAAGGACAGGACGCTTTAGAGACGTGTTGTTGATGGAGGACATGCGGACCTTTTTAAGTCCTACGCATCGCCACAGCCCTTCGGGATCCACCCTCAGAGAGCGACTCGACCGACAGGTAGCAGACTACCTCGCTTTAACTGCAGATATCGACACTCTGAGGAGCGATGAACCCCTTGACTACTGGGTGTGCAGGCTTGACCTGAGCTATCCCAATTTGCAATAGAACTTCTGGCCTGCCCCGCTTCAAGTGTCCTGTCAGAAAGGACCTTCAGTGCAGCAGGAGGTATTGTCACTGAGAAGAGAAGTCGCCTAGGTCAAAAAAGTCTAGATTACCTCACCTTATTAAGATGAATGAGGGATGGATCCCGAAGGGACTGACACTGGGCGATACATTAGATTAAAAAAGGCCTGATGAGATGAGCTGCCTTGGGCTAAAAATGGTCCACACGCTGCCGTATTTTAGCTCTGAATGCCTGTTGACTTGCGTGACTGATCCGCCACCAACTTGGGTTCAAGCCGCCATCTTTTAGGGCACTTTCTGCCTGTGAAACAAACATCACTTATAGATTGAATAGCAGTTAGTTGTCTCAAAGCGGGTGTGTCAGCCCTACAGCGTGTACTCTGCCAGTAATGCCACCTCCCTCTACCCTACTCCATCCTCTTCCATAACCTCCCCTGCTTAGTCCTCTTTCTCAAGGTTGCTGCCTTGCTCCACATCAACGGATAGGGGGCGGAACAGTGATTAAACTGATAACAATAGTACTAAACACACCACTCACTCACTGGTGTCACAATAGCTTGGATTTAAAAACAAAAAATTTTTTTCACTGTTATACTGGAATAGCAGTTAGTTATCTTAAAGCAGGTGTGTCAGCCCTACAGCGTGTACTCTGCCAGTACGCTGCCACCTCCTCTACTCCTCCTACTGCATCCTCTTCCATAACCTCCTCGGCTGAGTCCTCTTCTGCTGCTGCGTCTTGCTCTACATCAACGGATAGGGGACGTAACAGTGATTAAACTGATAACAATAGTACTAAACACACCACTCCTATCTGGTGGCACATTAGATTGCACGCGCAGTGCCCCAAATTTGTTGTGATCTGTGAGTACGGTAAACGGTTGTCATACAAGTAGGTTGCAGCTTTTTGAGGGCCCACACCACCGCTATGCACTCCTTTTCAATGGCAGTGAATATACTTCACTGTGCAGAAGTTTACGGCTTAGATAAGCCCCGGGTTGCTCGCCACCATCTGCTCCGACTTGGCTCAGTACTGCTCTCAATCCAAGCATAGAAGCGTCTGTATGGACGAGAAAGTGTTTAGTTGGATCAGGAGAAGAAAGTACAGGTGATTTAATGAGCGCCGTCTTGAGCTGTTGGAAGGCCTGTTCACACTCTGGGGCCCATACTACTATCTTGGGGAGGTTTTTACACGTTCCTATGGCACTTACTGGGCTTTAGGGTCAGTCCGGACTCCCTAATCCGGTCTATTACGGCTCCTATGTGGGTCAGGTGTTCGGGCCAGGAGCTGCTAAAAAATGTCTATACCATCCAAGTAGGTGTGTATCAGTGTGTATTAGGGATCCTTAGGACAGGTGTCAATCCATATCTGCCAAGTGACCCGATGTTGGGGTAACATTCCCTATTCTGCTCTGTGTCAGTGTGTATCAGGGATCCTTAGGGCAGGTGTCAATCCATATCTGCCAAGTGACCCGATGTTGGGGTAACATTCCCTATTCTGCTCTGTGTCAGTGTGTATCAGGGGCTCTGAGGACAGGTGTCAATCCATATCTGCTAAGTGACCCTATGTTGGGGTAACATTCCCTATTCTGCTCTGTGTCAGTGTGTATCAGGGATCCTTAGGACAGGTGTCAATCCATATCTGCCAAGTGACCTCATGTTGGGGTAACATTCCCTATTCTGCTCTGTGTCAGTGTGTATCAGGGATCCTTAGGACAGGTGTCAATCCATATCTGCCAAGTGACCCGATGTTGGGGTAACATTCCCTATTTTGATCTGTGTCAGTGTGTATCAGGGATCCTTAGGACAGGTGTCAATCCATATCTGCCAAGTGACCCGATGTTGGGGTAACATTCCCTATTCTGATCTGTGTCAGTGTGTATCAGGGGCTCTGAGGACAGGTGTCAATCCATATCTTCCATGTGACCCTATGTAGGAGGAATAGTCCCTATTCTGCTCTGTGTCAGTGTGTATCAGGGATCCCTAGGACAGGTGTCAATCCATATCTGCCAAGGGACCCTATGTAAAAAAGGCCTGATGAGATGAGCTGCCTTGGGCTAAAAATGGTCCACACGCCGCTGTATTTTAGCTCTGAATGCCTGTTGACTTGCGTGACTGATCCGCCACCAACTTGGGTTCGTCACAGTGTGTACTTTTATAAATGGCTTTTATAAAAGCAGTGTGTACTTTATAAATGGCTCCACCTGCCACCAAGACAGCAAAACACAGTCTCCAGAAGTTAGAGGACCAACCAAGCATCTTCTTCCATCTGCCTGTTACAGAAATTACCGTCACAGGTACACTCCACTCACCGATAGGAGACGCCGAAGGTATTAAACTGATAAAAATAGTACTAAACTCACCGGTTTCCTATCTGGTGTCACATTAGCTTGACCACAAGAAAGTGCCACAAATTTGCAGTAAGAGGACCACTGCTTCCTCTTCCATCTCCCCTGTTACAAAAATCAATGCCGCGGTACATGTCCACTGATAGGAGACGCCGAAGGTATTAAACTGATAAAATAGTACTAAACACACCACTTCCTATCTGGTGCGTCAAGCACATTAGCTTGACCGCCAAGAGTGCCCCAAATTTGCAGTAAGAGGACCTAATTCTCGCTTCCTTCTTCCATCTCCCTGTTACAAAAATCAATGCCGTGTACACGTCCACTGATAGGAGACGCGGAAGGTATTAAACTGATAAAAATAGTACTAAACACACACTCCTATCTGGTGTCACATTAGCTTGACCGCGCAGTGCCCCAAATTTGCAGTAAGAGGACCGACCAAGCCTCTTCTTCCATCTCCCTGTTACAAAAATCAATGCCGTGTACACGCCCACCGATAGGAGACGCGGAAGGTATTAAACTGATCAGAACAATACTAAACACACCACTCCTATCTGGTGGCACATTAGCTTGACCGCGCAGTGCCCCAAATTTGCAGTAAGAGGACCGACTGCTCTTCTTCCATCTCCCCTGTTACAAAAATCAATGCCGCGGTACACGCCCACTGATAGGAGACGCATGAAGGTATTAAACTGATCAGAACAATACTAAACACACCACCTCTTTTTGGTGAGGCTTATGACAGAGTAAGCCCACGGACATGTTAACTCACGGGCAGCTGGCTCATCAAGGAACCACAGCAGCTTTCCATGTACAGGTAAGACACGCAGAAATGGTATGGTAATTCAGGCTCTTCTTCCTGGAGGATACGCTGCAAGCCTGTTGAACGAGGTGATCTTGCTCGTCCCAGGTGTACGGTTCCTAAAATGGCTGCCGTGTACACGTCCACTGATAGGAGACGCGGAAGGTATTAAACTGATAAAAATAGTACTAAACACACCACTCCTATCTGGTGGTACATTAGATTGCACGCGCAGTGCCCCAAATTTGTTGTGATCTGTGAGTAAGGTAAACGGCTGTCCATACAAGTAGGTTGCAGCTTTTTGAGGGCCCACACCACCGCCATGCACTCCTTTTCAATGGCAGTGAATATACTTCGCCGTGCAAAAGCTTACGGCTTAGACAAAAATCAATGCCGTGTACACGTCCACTGATAGGAGACGCGGAAGGTATTAAACTGATCAGAACAATACTAAACACACCACTCCTTTTTGGTGAGGCTTTACAGGGACAGAGTGCTTCCTCCACGGACATGTTAACTCACGGGCAGCTGGCTATTCATCAAGGAACCACACAGCAGCTTTCCTGGGCGTACAGGTAAGACACGCAGCCGTAAGGGTTCAGGCTCTTCCTGGAGGATACGCTGCAAGCCTTGTTGAACGGTAAGTGACCTTGCTCTTCGTCCCAGGTGTACGGGTTCCTAAATGGTTGCCATACACGTCCACTGATAGGAGACGCGGAAGGTATTAAACTGATCAGAACAATACTAAACACACCACAAATAAGGTTTCTCCTGTATGGCTCCTCAAATGATGCTTAAGATTAGAAGCGGCTGAAAAGCATTTCTCACACTCAGAACAAAAATATATTTTTTTAACATTCTCTCCACTTTGAACGAAATGACGTTTGGGAAGAGATTAACATAATTAAACACAGGCAGTAAAATACAGTTTTTAGCCATACACTGTAACTTTAAAACTACACATCCCATCTTCATAATTACATATTTGGAATCAGCACACTTAAAACATAAACATAGCCAAAAATCAGCCAAATCCATCCAGGGGTTAAAAAGTTAGCTGGAGGTCCCTTTATGACCGACCGCAAGCACATTTTCCTGCCCAAAACAGTTCCATAGATTTGGGCTGTGAGGTCGGTCTATTTCAGGCTGAAAAAAAGACTAAGTCCCATCGCCGAATGGGACTTAGTCTCTGCAGCTGAAATAAGGCTGAAAAAAACGGCTGAAAAAAAGACTAAGTCCCATCGCCGAATGGGACTTAGTCTCTGCAGCTGAAATAAGGCTGAAAAAAACGGCTGAAAAAAAGACTAAGTCCCATCGCCGAATGGGACTTAGTCTCTGCAGCTGAAATAAGGCTGAAAAAAACGGCTGAAAAAAAGACTAAGTCCCATCACCGAATGGGACTTAGTCTCTGCAGCTGAAATAAGGCTGAAAAAACCGGCTGAAAAAAAGACTAAGTCCCATAAAGAGTCCATAAGCCCCAATATGCCCACCGACAGTCTTAAAGGGCCATACACACCAAATAAAAGTGCATACATTTTCACAATCTCCCAGGGGCCATAGTCATGCGGGAGGAGGCTGGCAAATAGGCTTCTCCACAACCCAGGGAAGCAGGGCAATTTGCCATTTAAAGGGCCCGTTACAAATAGCAGTTTGTAACAAGGTGTCAATCCATATCTGCCAAGTGACCCGATGTAGGGGGACCAGTCCCTATTCTGCTCTGTGTCAGTGTGTATCAGGGAACCTTAGGACAGGTGTCAATCCATATCTGCCAAGTGACCCTATGTAGGGGGACCAGTCTCTATTCTGCTCTGTGTCAGTGTGCATCAGGGGCTCTGAGGACAGGTGTCAATCCATATGTCAAGGTGTCAATATGTCATATGTCAGGTGTCAATCCATATTCATTGTGATTTAGGAATGTTAGGTGATTTCTGCCCTTTATGGATTAAAACCAGACTCTGTATCAACTGTGTAATTTTCCATGGGAGTTTTGCCATGGATCCCCCTCCGGCATGCCACAGTCCAGGTGTTAGTCCCCTTGAAACAACTTTTCCATCCCTATTGTGGCCAGAAAGAGTCCCTGTGTGTTTTAAAATTCGCCTCCCCATTGAAGTCAATGGCGTTTCGGGCGGTTCGCCGGTTCGCGAACATTTATTCATATATTATTATTATTGCCATTTATATAGCGCCAACAGATTCCGTAGCGCTTTACAATATTATGAGAGGGGGGATTTAACTATAAATATAACAATTACAAGAAAACTTACAGGAACTATAGGTTAAAGAGGACCCTGCTCAAACGAGCTTACAGTCTATAGGAAGTGGGGTATAAAACACATTAGGACAGGAAATAGCAATCAAATAAGGTGGGAGTGAAGCAGAGCTGGATGAGAGAGTAGAGTGCTGCCCTTTAGGAGAGCGCAAGAGACAGGTATGTGAGGTAGAGGTAGCCATAAGCCATAAACTTTCCTAAAGAGATGGGTTTTAAGGCACTACTACCATTGAAGACTAGGGGAGAGTCTGATGGCAGTGGGCAGGCTATTCCATAGCAAGGGAGCCGCCTGCGAAAAGTCCTGCAAGCGTGAGTCAGGTGCAAGCAGCGGACAGGAGAAGGTAACAGGCAGAGTGGAGAAACCGTGAAGGGGCATAACTATGTTACAATAATCCATACGGGAAATTACCAGAGCATAGACAAGCTCCTTGGTAGCATCTTGCGCAACAAAGGGGCGGATGTGGCCTATGTTTTTAAGATGTTGAAATATTACAAATAAAAAATGACAAAAGAATTCCATTGATAAGTACACATTTTATCTAAACTACAACATAGAAGGTACTACAAACAGAAACTGTCAATATTTGAACAGACATTTGTGTGAGATATTAATAGCCACAATCGATTCCCCACCTCATTCACTCTGCTATTGACAGAACACATGCAGTGATGAAATATTACTTTAAATAGCAATGTATTTGGCAAGAAACAATAGAAGAGTAACAAAAATTCTTCAACATTCCGGATTTATAATCTTGATCTTGCTGCCTAAGTTATTAAAAATTTGTAACATTTTTCGGTGTCCTTTCACTTAGATCAGTAGGCTAAGATAAGTTTAACTTGTCAAGGACACATACTACCCCACACAGAGTAGAACTGCTGGTATTTAAATTGTACAAATAATTTCCTATTTATAAGAGAACTTTTGAATGACAGAAAAGCTGTGGGGAGCAGAGCTAGCAATCTAAAGACAAAAGGGACATGTGATGCACGAAATGACCCCTATTTTTTTATGCAATATAACAAAATATATATATATATATATATATATATATATGTCTTATTATTTCTATTGCCATTTTAGTGGAACCAACATTGTACTTGGCTGAATTATTTGTAGGTGCTGCATGAAAAACATTACTTAATAATAATAAACATATTTCTATGTGAAGTATATAATCATTGTTTTATTTCTCTGGTGAAAAACCTTGTATGGTTATTTATTAAACAGCTAATTGTCTGAAATTCAAGATTGGATACTTTTCCAGGTCTGTTACTTTGGCCTATAATGTGTAACTTACTAGTCAGTTCCCAATAGTTCCTGGTTTAATGAATAGCCATTTTGTTCTCAGAAGTTCTTAGGCATCTCAAGGTAGCTTAAGATTGTATTTATAAAAATGGCAGAAGTAGCAATGACTAAAAAGCTATGGGTACCGAGCATCACATGCTTTCACCTAGGCCCGGACTGGCTATTGTGCAAACCAGGCAAATGCCAGTGAGCCAGGATGTACAAAGGTCAA